GAATGATATCCGTTGCCAAGAATAAAATGAATATAATATTTTTAGATATTATGCAGATTAATATAATAATAATAATAATAATAATAACGATAAAACGAATTTATAATATAATAATAATTACGTGGCTCTTGAAACGTCCTGCCGACTGTAAACGTTTCGCTATCGATGATCTCGATGGAAGAACGACTGTCCGCGATCTTCTTTATTATCATCTTCCATTGTTGTTAGAAATAATTCGCCGGATGTTATTATCGACGCGACGACCAAACATCGAAGAGTAGCGCGGGGGAAGAAATTACGAAAAAAAAAAAACCAAAAAAAAAAACCAAAAAAAAAAAACAAAACAAAATTATTGTAGAAAAAATAAAAAAAATAAGTAATTACCGATTTAACGATTCGTTAGTGCATGGTTACGTTGTACCGGAAAAAAAAAACTTCCCGATGAAACAATAACAGTATAAAAGAACGAAAAATGTATAACATTAAATGGCGAAAAAAAAAAAAAGAAAAGAAAAATATGTATAACTTTTTTATAGATGCATGTATAACTATTATTATACATGCACGCTGGCGACGGCGGCGTTGTCGACGATGTCGTGTCGAACTTTTGACTGACCTGACAAAGGGCGAACCGTGAACGCACTGAGACCTTAAAACGATAGAGCGCTACCTTTAACAACAATAAATAATCGTAAAAATACTGGCGCGACAGAGTTGGAAGGAGAGTGAGCGAGAGAAAATACGAAAAAAAAAAAATAAAAAAAAATGATTATTTTTTACCTTTACGTGACGTGTCCTTCTTTCGTTCCGTCCGCGTCCCAAGCCGTCATATAATAATAAATAATACATTTTTTAAATTAATTTAATTTAGTTTTACAACCAATCAGACGGTTAAAGCAGGTATAGGTGTACCTATATTTTAATCAAAACACTGACATCGTGTCGCACTGCCACCAGTGTTATACCGATATATAATCCGTCATACCTACCGCGGAAAACCAAATCTCGTTATCTTTTCCCGGGGAAACATTAAACAAGAAGAGAGTTCGAAATGTGGACCACGGCGATAATTCTTTGGTCCCGGGGAAGAAAGGCTTTGGCCAATGTTTGCAACGATTTGTCTATATCGTTTTGATTTTCCCACCTTTACCGTGTGTTTTTATTTTCAAAATCGGCGTGCGAGTTAAAAGTTTATGTACCTACAAATGTATGCATTTTCGATATCTAATTCACTTGTATCGCACACTATACAAAAATGACTTCAGACCTTCTCGCCTAGGACCAAAGATATTTGATTATTGTGCAGCACAAAATGTATAACGAGTGCTAATATGTCCACGTTCGAAATGCGGATGAGGTTCGTATACTTAGTTTGTGAAGCATATACATAGTTAGGAAAACGTTCGTATATATTTTGTATCGAATCGCAGTGTAAATCGTTTTTTTATTTTTTTATTATACAGGGTGATTTTTTAAGCTTTCCATTTTTATGGCTACATTATGTTATAGAATTCAAATTTTGAATTTTGGAATTTTCGATGTGTAACGAAAGGCGATATTTTCGAATACTTAGATTTTACTAAGCGCCTAAGGAGTATCCTGTGATTATACCAACTTGGGTTTTTCAAATGAGAACTTATACATGTTTTTAATGCGAATTGTCAATCAGACAATTTTTCTGAAAACATTGACGTATATTGTAATCGAAATTAGTACGATATGTTTCTGACCGTTTCATAGGAGTGGTGTGTAAGCAATTTCTTGTTGTGAATCGTGTGCCGAATCCTTATGAATCCTTATGCCGGGTCGCAACAAATATTTACAAATAGATAAACTCGTTCATATGTATAGTTAAAATAAATTCTGTTGCACAAACCACGTTTTAAATTTTATCTTTTGATAAAAATATACTTTATCAAGAGTTTACGTTAAGTTGAAAAGTAAAAATGTATGTAGGTATAATTAAATTTCATTACCAATGTTTTGCGTCATAGGTACTTTTACTGCCGCTACAGTGGAACTGTATTTACTTGTTAATAAGTATTCTGGTAATAAACTGAGTATAAAACAATGATAGAGTAACATTCGTGAATTCTATACACGTTAAAACTTTAATTGATAAATTAAAGTTTAGATATTTAACACCTGAATTTATCAATAGATAACGACAAGTTTAGTGCAACCGAGCATAATTTTTTAAAGTAGATAACTCAGAAACGTTATTTCGTTTAAATTTCGATGACAATACGTCTTTTTCAGAAAAATCTACTGACTAATAATTTGCATTAAAACGTGTAGGTTATCTTTTGAAAAACCTAAGCTTGAATCGCTTACTACAGGATACTGCTGAAATATTGTGAACAATTTTAGTATGCGGAAATATCGTTTTTCACTACACTTGAAAATATAAAAAAAAAAAATTTCAGAATTTGTATTACTGCATAATTTAACCGTAAAAATAGGGCGAGCATGCCTAAAAAATCATCCTGTATATTATAATAACATTCGCGTAAACTAAACGCTTAAAATAATATTTGATAGAGTTTACGAACTATGTTGTATACATTGAAATTTATTATTGTTTAAATTATAGGTATCGCCACAGATAAAAATGTGTTTTATATTTGTATACGTTTGTGACATAATTTATGTGTAATTTACCTCAAGGTGTACGGTTTAACAAAAAAAAAAAAAAATGGTATATTTAAATTTGTGATTTAGATGTTATTTCAAAATGTAACGGCCAGTGAATATTGTTGGGCTAAATTTTATCATAAGTTGTAGAAAAGTTATTTATAGAAGAAAAAAAAAATCATCATTGTAAACCAATACATTCCTCGCTCCTCTCAGAATGTAAAACAAAATTAAAAATTATAAAAGAATTATTTTTGTAAATTTTCCCGTTTTTTCTACGTATTTTTAATTTTTGTTTAATTATTTAAAAAAAAAACAACTAAGAAAATCAAAAAACGACTTCCTTGGTCACCAACTAATTTAAAAATGCAACAAAACGGGTTTCTTATCGTTTTTCTATTGAAGCTGTATTTATGATAAGCCGTACAAATTTTAAATAATGATATCGTTGCGCCGTAATTTGAAAAAAAAAAAAATAAATATTTTTCGTCTGTTTTGGTTTTTCCCAATTATTTTAAAAACCGCTTTAGATATCAAAAAACAGCTTACTTTGACAATGGCTGTGTATTAAAAGGAGCAAAATAGATGATCTCTTGTCATTTTTCGATTTGACCGATATTTCCGGTGTAAAACGTAAGTTGCAAATATTAAAAAAAATGAAATCGGTAGTAAAACCAATAGATCCCCTACGCTTCACTCAGAATCTAAAATGTAAATTATTAAACATTTTTTTCTCCTTCTTCGATTCCTTCGCCTTCGTCCCAAAAATTTGGGACCGACCACCCTCGTCCCGTCCTAAACATATTTATATTGATCGCATCATGGTTGATAGATGATTTTCTTAATATTGCTATGTTGCGCGTATGTGTTGTTGGATACAGAAAAAGAACATGGGTATCCGGCAGATCGGAAAAATCTAGTCGGGAACTCGGAAAACCCGATCCAATGCGACGGTACTCAATATTATTGTATTATTGGGCGTATACTCGTGAATTTCGAAACACGTACGTTTTTTGAAGCGCTGAAGTCGGTAGATATTTAAAATAAAAATGACTAATCTGAACTGTATAATATCTGTAAATAACTGTAAAAATAGATACAAAATTGTATACTACACGAGTATTTAAAAGCAAAAAGAACGAAATTACAGTTCAACAATTAATGATTTTTTTTAGCGCGTGGTAGTTAAAATTTAATTAAAATTATAATCCGTCGGATAGGATTGATATATAACAGTAGTTTAGCGTGTCTATCTAATAAAAATGAAAATAATCAAATAAAGAAAATAACGGCGCGTACACATTTTTTTTTCATCTGTTTGATAAAAGATATACTATCGTACCGTACATTATTGCGCGGTACATATTACTTTTAAGTTTTAAGCGAAGCCGGGGGGGGGAGAACTGTTAAATTATTATAATGTTTTTTTTTTCATCTAAATAAAATTTTTTACTACGCGAAATCACTTTTCGTGGCGTGCAGTAAAATTGAATCCAACAAATTCATGTATTCAGTTTTGATACTTTCAGGCAGCCATAAAAATCGGACGTTCAATTCGAATGGTACGAACACAATTTTTTCGAAATATATACCAGTGTAATAAATATTATATACGCAGTTTAAAAAATGAATTTGAAAAACAGGAAATAATCAATTTATGAAGTGTCCGGCGATTTTCCAATTTTGTTTTTTAACAAATTTTTTTAATGTAGTATTATGAATTAAGAATAATTAAAAAATACATTGAATATTTATTATAGGTATACGCCCAGTCGATCTAAATAAGAGACAAAATTCAAACATTCTATACACTCGATCAATTTCTTACCTATAAAAAAAAAAAAAAATTACAAATACAAAACTCGATTAATTATTCGATATTTTGCGAATTATAAAATTTAGTTAGATTATTTGCACGGTATAGGTATTACTGCATTACATAGGAGTATGTACTGAATTTTCGTAAACATATTTTTATGTTTTTGGTAATTATAAAGAATGACCGGATTCGCTTTATATGAATGAGGCAAACTTGTAAACGATGCTTCAAAAAAAAAAAAAAAAAAACTGTTTGAAATATTAATATATACATAATAAAAAAATCATAAGAGCGAAATTACAAACGTGAACAGTATATACGAATATTATACGCATAGTGTTCAGCTGATGTGCCATTAAAAACAAAACATGAACTTTGCCTTAATAGCGAAGTGGACGTGCTATACGCATGAATGCAGAAATGTTAAAGCTCTGCAGTTTTACATCGTATATAGTTATTAGTAAAATAACCAGAAAAAGAAATTAACGAAAAAAACAAAAAAAAACACAAACATTTTAGACTTTAATACGGATATTATCGATGCTTACCGATTGTGTTATTATATTGCACATTTTCATAGGCACCCATATACGCGAAATTCGAGTGTTCGTTTATGTTGGTATAAAACATACTCGTATTGTACCGGTCGATAATCAGTCCTAAAATATTAATGTTTCCGAACATTTAAACGCTTATACGGGAAATCGTATTTTAAAGAATTTTTTTAAACGCGTACTGTCTCAATAGTTCCGTATGGTATTCACGTCGCATTTTTCAAGTCGTATATAGTCGTATATAGCCCATAATACCAATCGAATAAACGCGATTACGACTTGCGTTTATTTATGTCCGCGGGCGTTCGGCATAATGTTTCAACGTGTGTATCGTGTTGAACACGTTGAGCATAACGTTAATACTGTAGTTGGAGTTTCAGCACAGTTAAATATACGACGGACGTCCGATGGGAATTATAATTAGTAGGTATGCAAAAGTGCAAACAAAGGTCTCGCCGCCGCATATTTGCAGTGTTATTAAGTCTAGCGCAGTTATGTTAAATAATAATACATTATTAATTAAATACTATATTGTCTTTCATATAATGTCCTTTTAGAAATTTCGATTATTTTATGCGTACGCATATACAGAGTGATCAACATAACGCAGCCACTCGATCATTATCTCGGAAAGCATTAACTTAATTTGGTTTTTTACAACATTTAAGAACAATGAGTAGTTTTAAAATGTTAAATTGCTTATTTTTTTTTCCGACCATTTGCATGCATGTCTGGTAACGAAGCCACTACCCATTTTTGATTTTGAGGTTGCGGAGCATCATCATCTGTGCGTGCGCTGTGTTCCAGTAGTGCTCCGCTATTGCTATTATACTCTCCTCCCGCCCGAACTTAAATGTGGAATATCTTATCAACCGGATTTACGGAAATCAAAAATTTCAAAACATCACAATTTGTTTAAACTGATACTACAGTAGAAACCGTTTATAATGACATGTAAGGGGCTAGTTGAAATCAGTCATAATAACAGATTGTCATAATATTACAACCAAAATGATAAAATAAAATTTAAAAACATGATTACGTACAAGCATAATAAATATATACATTGTATAAGTATTTATATGAACATAATATTATATTACGAGCAACCAATGCGTTACATACAGAAAAAATAAAATAAAATACGCTTCGAATCTAAAAAAAGTTGTTTTGTTACTTTAAAGTTAAATTTACATTGTATTAAAAAAAATCTGTTATCTTAGTTTGAATAAAACTCTATGATCTAAAGTCATTAGTCATTATATCCAATTTTTTAAATTATGTCACTAGAACCTGTGTCATTATAAACAGTATCTACCGTACATAATATCATATTAATGGAATTTTTAATATAAGTTGCCATTTGAAAATCAAATGTAAGTAGCGGTTTCACTCACTAAAATATGAGGGGCAAAAAAAAAGAACGATGTAACATTTTGAATGTTCTAAAAAACATATTTCGAAAAAATTTAATATTTTTCGAGATAACGAGCGTCTTACATTATGTTGATTATGTTGATTAGTTATTTTGTGGTGTAGTTTTCATTTGTTCATTATTCATCATAATTTTATCTTTTATAATTTTATTTTACGTCTTTTTTGATTGATCCCGGTTATTATAAAAGCGGTTATGACAGTAAAAAAATTACTTAATTCTTCAGCAACTAGATCCAATATGCAAAAAATGTTGCACCCTTGAATTTTTGAATTAAAGCAATATTTTTGGTAGAAAAAAGTAGGTAAAAATTAAAAACAATAAAATCGGTAACTCCGCGATGCTCTGTTAATATTTTTCGATTTTTCCTCTATTATTACGAAAACGCCTTGGAAAATCTAAAAATTACATCCCCAACGCACCAATTAGGAAAAATTTCCTTTTTAGATAAGATGCACAGGAAAAGTTTTCTTGTAGTAATTTGTTATCTGAATATGGTTTGGCGATGACGGGCACAACAATGAAGAAAATATATTACTATCAATATTTTAGTTATACGGGCGTATACCTGCGTATTTTTCAAAAAGTTATACGCCATGATTAACATACACGATTTGGATATACGCGCCGAATACTCCCGTATACCATCCAATGCACCACTGGGTTTTCAAATGAAAACTTGTATTAAAAATTAAAATTATATGCACTTATACGAGTAACTTATACGCTTATACACAAGTAGTCCGCAGGTCGGTACCTATATATTTGTGTGTTGTGTGTAATAACCGATTTGAAAAGCCGCGGAAAGTATAGGTAACGGTGGCGGTGTTTTCTACATTCGAGTTTGTTTTGTGTATTTAAATTACGGATTCCTATTAAAATAAAAGTCACGCGACCCGAGCGGGTCGCACCACTAATAAAGCCCATTGGGTCATGGTTAATATTCAAGAGCTTTCACAGGGTGCCGCCCGCAATATTTCGCGTGTGCTTTGTTTGAAGAAAAAAATCAAACAAACAAAAATCATATGTATTCGAGTTGTTATTTACAAGGGGCAAATTTCAAACTATTATTACTCATTTAACAATAATGAATTTTATTGAATATATAATATACAATATTTTACATATAGGTGAACACGAAACTTGTTATAGGAGTTATTTATGCATAGAATCTGGCTAACAAATTGAGAACGAACAATTTGTTTAAACAAGCCATACAAAACTAAAATATTTAAAAATTTTTTTTTTTTTTTAGTATTTCGTTAAACATTTTTTATTTTAAAACAATATTACAGAATGACGTCTCTTGAATTCCTAAATTTATATATGAAAAAATAAAAGTTCAAAAAACTATTTACTTTTTAGTTTATTATACTATATAATCAAATATAAAACAATTAAATTTGGATGGATAGGACTCACATAATTTAAGTATTTAATAATAATAAATCCAAATATCATATATTGTAAATCAATAGACTAAAATAATAACAAAAAACTTAAAATAAATTCAAGCCAACAGGATTGACAGCACTGGCATATTGGGAATTTAATTTTTGGTGTGGTGGATTGATTATGGAGTGATAGAGAAAAGTAATTTTGAATATATCTTGATTTGACTAAGACTGCTTAATATCGACGAAAAAAGAGGCAACGATATTTTAAAGAATATTCGGAGAACGTTTTTGTGATGTCTTTAACTCGAAATCCATGTTTGGATAGTTTTATGGAGATATAGTTTTACAGTGTTGGGAAAGTTCCTTTTAAAAAGGAATTCGTTTTCGTTCCACGTTCTACTGCAAAAATAAACTCATTACGCTTCCTTGTTCTTTACTTAAAAATGGAACCAGTTCCCGTTCCTCGTTCCTTAAAAAAAGAAATTCGTGATGAATCGTGCTTTTTTTTTTTTTTTTTTTTATGAATATCTAATGCAATTCAAAATATTTTATTTTTATATTCTGAATTTTAAAATATCACTAATTAACTTGCTTTGAAAATATACACGTATTTAACATTAAAGGTTTTTATGAGTCACTTCACACTTGTATAAATAACTAATTTACATAAAAAAATAAGTGTAGTGCGAGCTAACCAAAACTAAAAACCAATATTCCAATATTATTCTTAATTGCCACTTTCATGTGTGAAAGATCGTCACTTCAGAACGGCTCGATCGATTTGGCTGATTTTTTCTTTTGTAATTATCAAGTTTTGTAAGATAGAAAATGTTTGGAAAATCCACCGGAAAAGTCGGAAATTCGGATAGTATTTTTGTATAAAAATCTCATAAAAAAATGATGTTCAGTTTGACAGTTCTGCTGTCTTATGTTTTCATAATAATTACAAATTCCGCATTGAGAGATTTAAATGCAATATTGACTGCAACACTTATTACATACAAACAAAAACCACAAACAACATCAACGATCCATAACGTTTCACCGAGGCTGATACATCAAAAACTTGTTTTCAATTTTACAGATTAGAAGACAAATTTGCCATCGTGCAGAATGTTGCTACCAGTAAATGCTGATCACAAGTTTCGTCAGATTTATTTCCTTGGAAATCCTGATAGTAAAATCAATATTGTACGATAAAGCGAGAGATTATTGCGCAACTGTAACAAATCTTACACGAACACAATCAATTGGTAAAATTGTTCAAGACTGTGCTAGAAATGATGCCTTTGAGTGATCATAAAGTATATTGATCAGAACAGACAAAAGACCAGCAGACGAACATGAGAGACACTCAATGCACCAACGTTTAATGCAATCGCTATTGTGGTTGTTGGCGAGAGTTTGATTTTTATCTTCTTGTTATGAAGCTGATGCGTAACAACGTGATTGAAACAATGATAATCAAAGGAAAATTCAAAAGTGAGGATGTTTTTATTTTAAGAATACCACTGATACCAAACGGCTTACCGTATCAATTTAAGAATGTCCAGTTTCCGGTTCGTCTTGCATTCACAAAGACGATTAATAAATCGAAGATTAAAAAAAACCTTGAATTTCAGTATTATTCCCATGGTTAGTTTTAGCGTGCTTGAGAATCGGTAAGCTATCGGCGCTATTCGTTTTCTCTCCTACAAATGGAAAGACAAAAAACAAACGGACATACTTTGCATGATGCATGGTGGGTTTCTGTTGTAGAGGGGGCAGTTGAGAAGCTAGAATATATAAAGTTATTTATTATACGGTATAATTTATACTTTTAACCAACGATAAACCATTGCTAACGAAAAACGATTCGGAACGAAGTTCGGGTATACATGTTTTGAAAGGCCGTAATATTTAAGATTTCCGTTAAAATTTGATTTTGAAACTCGTACAGAAAAAAAATACCACATTACACTCAATTTTTTTTTTTTGATCATTATAAGTGTAATTTATAATGAAATACTTGTCAAATTTTCAAGCATTTTTGTTAAGTCAACAATCCGTCTTTTTAGATTCGGAGCGGTACCGGTTTTACTATGATGTGTTTTTTTTTCTGTATGTAAACAATTTTTTGAAAATAAATCTTGCTCCGATGAATGGAGTATAGTACCTTTTCTGTAAGGAAATTTTGTTTAGTTAATACATTAAAAAGGTCATTTTTTATTTTCTTAGGTGTTTTCGAAATAATCGAGAAAAACCCAAAAGAAAAATATAAGTAAAACGGCAAATATTTATGGCACGCCACGGTGTTACACTGATTTCATTGTTTTTATTTTTGCAACTTATGCTTTATATCAAAAATATTCCTCCAATTGAAAAATGATACGAGATCAATTTTGTTCTTTTTAACAGCCACTGTTACACAAAGTTGTTTTTCGATTTATAATAATTGGGAAAAATTAAAAAAATATAATTTTTTTTCAAATTATGGCACAATGATTTCATTAATTTAAATT